TCTCTCTCTCTCTCTCTCTCTCTCTCTCTCTCTCTCTCTCTCTCTCTGTCTCTCTTTCTCTCTCTTTCTCTCTCTCCCTCTTTTTTTTTTTGAGGCAATCGGGGTTAAGTGACTTGCCCAGAGTCACACAGCTAGTAAGTGTTTGAGTCATATTTGTCATATGTAAGTGTCATATTTGAAATCAAGTCTGTGACTCCAGGCTGGTGCCTTATCCACTGCACCTCCTAGCTGCCCCAGTTCATGCCTTTCTCTATTATCTCCAGGCCTAAGGGCAGTAGAGCAGAGCTCCCAAGAGCTGTCCCATCCTTAACTTGGTCCTCCCACCTGCCAGGGGCCTGGAGGACATAAGGACATTTAGGCCTTTGCAACTGTCCCCTTCTCTGCTACTTTGCTTCTTTGTCCTATATGTCTCATCTGGTAACCCTTTGACTTGTTTCCTTCAGGGCTGGGTCAAGGGAGTGGTATTCATCAATGGCCGGAACCTCGGGCGCTTCTGGAACATTGGTCCCCAGGAAACTCTCTACCTCCCAGGCCCCTGGCTGCACTCTGGAGACAATGAGGTGAGATTCCCCACCAAGCTTCTCATCCCTTTGCCTCTGCCTTTTCCTGCCTTAGCTTTCCCTCAGAAGTAGAACATAAGCCTAGTGAAAGGCTAAGGGAGGTGGGGAGGAAACAAGCGTATATTAGGGGTCTACTCTGTGCCAGGCACCATGTGAGGGACTTCACAGATACCATCTCAAATGAGACGAGGACTGGCTCCAGCCCTTCTCTTTCTTTGCCAGGTCATCGTGTTTGAGGAACAGAAGTCAGGCATGATCATCCAGAGCATGGACACACCCTACCTAGGCAGGAGTCACTACATTGACTGAGCACCTGGCTCCATTTTACTCAGGAAATTCCTGGCTGGGGCAGAGAAGAAGGAGGTCGAGAGCCTCTTCTCTCCAGAGCCTCTGGATGCCTTTTCAGATGTCCCTCTACAGCGAGAGGATCTTGCTCAGTACCAGCTCTGGGGAGGAACTTCTTTTACCCATCACCTTGTGGCCTCTGGCCCAACTGGAAAGAATGTGGAGGGAAGGGACAATTGTCCTAGCTGCCATTATAGACGTGATCCCTTTCTTGGGCTGTTTTTGTGGGGGGTGGGTCTCATGCTTGCCCTGCCAGATTGTAGATGAAGGGGAGAAACTCTTCCACCCAAGTGGGGTTGTTGAATCTGACCATCCGGAGCAAGCTGCTGTGGGTCTCTGGACTAGATGCTGAGACCAGTATGTAAGAAGACATTTAGCAAATCGAAGCCTCCATTCTCTGACTGATCAGTTGGGATGTAAATATCACTTTCTGCTTTAGCCCTAGTAACAATTTAATTTGAACACTTCTCAAGGCAGAGCCTGCTGCTGTCTAGCAAGGAGCATTATTTCTTAGCTATTTCCCTTCTGCTGAAGGAGTCAGTTTGATACCAGTCACTGACAATTGGGGGTTGGGGAATGGTGTGGAGCCTGAGGGACACTTTGACCTTCCCTCTCCCTCCCTCCACCCATAAATGCCTGGAGCCCTGGTATATATATATAGCAGAGAAAGCTCTATTTGCAGGATATAAGATATTCTCTTCCCACCCCTCCCCACCACGTAGAGAGGCCAAAGTATGTGGTGGTCAGGGCAGGAGGGCTCAGTCAATTTAACCGTGCCCACCCCCCTCCATTTTAAAAAAAATGGATATACCTACTTCAAGTTTTATTTAAACAGTAAAGGAAGCACTTGTGGGCAGGGAAGGTAGATGTCCTGAGGTACTACTGTACCTGCAAAAGGTCTTCACCTTGAATTACTTAAGCACTCAGGGAATGTGGAACTTCTCCAGAGAGGTCTCTACCAGATCCCTCCTACCTCTCCTCCCACAAACCACCTTTCTGACTCTCCCTGCCTGTCTTTTCTTCCCAAATCCAAACAGCAGGAGAGGCCTCAGGGGAGGAGACCGGCTCTGGCCCTCTCTTTCCTTTCGGAATGGTTTTCTTTTTCCTCAGTTCAGGTGTTACTGTTCTGGGAATGATGCCCAATGGGTTGGTTGAGTTGTGTCTGAATTGCAATAAAGTCATTGCTTGAAGGTTTTCCTGAACTCCACTAGTAAGAGCTCATTTGTGCCAGGAGATAAAATAGGGTTAGGGCAGGCAGAAGACCAATGAAATCTGTCTCTTGGGCAATTCGGGGGTGGGGGGTGGGATTAATTTAGTCTCTAGGTTGTCCAGGGCCCTCACTTCTCTCAATCTGGCTCCTTCAAGCTCCATGCTTTTTTGGGCTCTACACTGCTCAGTGGCAGCTCTCCCCAAGATGAGGTGGGCAGGGGCACCGAGGACAGGAGAGAAAATTCTACCAGCAATCTTCCTCCCTGACAGTGGAGGAGAAGGAAGCCTGTCGTCACCCTTCTGTGTATCACCCTAAATGACTATGGGCTCTGACTTGATCAAGAGCCCTCCAAGTAGCAAGAAAAGTGAGGCAAGCCGAGTTGGGAGGCCCTGAGGAAAACCATGTGGTTGGTCTTGATAAGGCTATGCCTGGAAAAAGGAGACCCACAGCCCTAAGGTTAGGGGTGTGCTGAACAGCTGGGAAGGCAGTTATATTTTCAGAGCGAGGATTTATACCTCAGAAATTGAAACCCTCAAACTGAAACATTCATTATGTTGGTTTTTAGACCAGTGACTTCAAACTTAAATAGAAACTAATCCTGACATAAGGTTTCCTGCAGGGCACATATTGATTTAGTTTTTAAGATATAATTTTATCTATGTTTTATTGTATTTTTTACTTATTTTGTTAAATATTTCCCAATTACATATTAATCTGGTTCTGTCAACAATCTGGTTCTGGAATGTTTGACACCTCTGGTCTAGGCTTAAGAAATTGTTTAGACTTAAGAAAGTGTTAATAATGCAACTAAAACTTCTGAGTGTGTCATGTGTACATTTTTTTTCTAGAGAGGCTAGTTAAACATTTACCAGCACACCCCTGCCTAAGGGTAGGAATAAGGGCTTTATGGGTTCTGTGTGTTCCCATTCATGGGGTTTTTACCATACTTCTTCGGCCCAGTAGTGGGGTGGAGAACAGCCATCTCTCAACTATGTACCTTATAGATTATCGATGGCAGGCATGCTTTTCTCTCTCAGGCTGCCTCCCCTGTTGTTACCTAAGGCAGATGAGACTCAGTATCAGCCACGGATAAGTGTGATGATGAAAATAACCCTGCTGCACAGCCTCGTACCATGCAGCTCATGTGTCCAGCCCTGAGAGTGCTTGTGCGCTTGTGGAGAGCCCAGGCATTGTTGAACCCCATGTGAATGATAGGGAGTTCTAGTCCATATATTCCTCACAGTGTGGATAATCGAGAGTTGACTGAGAGCTGTTTGGAGGAGCTGGGGAAGGAAGTGGTGCTTAGGTGTTTGTTGTTGTTCAGTCATTTTTTCAGTCATATTTGACTCTTCGTGACCCCATTTGGGGTTTTCCTGGCAAAGATACTGGTGTGGTTTGCCATTTCCTTCTCCAGCTCATTTTACAGGTAAGGAAACTGAGGCAAACAGGGTTTAGTGACTTGCCCAGGGTCACACAACTAGTAAAAGTTTGAAACCAGATTTGAACTTGGGAAGAGGAGTCTTCCTGACTCCACACCTGGCACTCTATCCATTGCACCCCATAGCTGCTCCTATAGTATGGATACACAGACCCTAACACTGAATCACCATGTTTCTCTACTGAAAGAATACTGAACAAGTTTCTCAGCCTTCAGTCAGTGCTGAGGCGAAAAAGCTGTGTGTTCTTTCTTGGTGGAGGGAGAACGAAAGGGCAAGGAACAGAAGGAACTGGGGGGAGGGGTGGGCAGGTTTTACATGACGGGTGTGTTCCCTAAATGTTACAGATAGATCAAATCCTGTTGAGATTATGCCCGGAGAACTGGCTAACTCAAGAATTCTATGGGGAATCCTTTTTTTCGAAGCAAAAAATGACCTCCCTGGATTTCTCTTTTTAGACAATTTTCTAAGATGAATCTGCTTGCAGTGAGGTATACCTGTATTCACTAGTCCATCCCTCCTTATTCGCAAGCAGAAAACTGGAATCTTGAGTTCTTTTCACTGGCATTTCCTTAAGGTATAAGTAAAGAAGAGATGGCAAGATGGATAGAGTACCATTCAGGAAGACCTGAATTCAAATTTGACTTCAGACAATTACTAACTGGATAACTCTGGTCAAGTCACTTAACCTCTGCCTCAGTTTCCTCATCTGTAAAATGGGCATAATGATGGCACCTACCTCCCAGGGTTGTTGTGAGGATCAAAATCAGATAATAATTGTAAAGCACTTAACACAATGCCTGGCACATAGTAGGTGCTACATAAATGCTATTATAATAAAATATTATTACTATAGCCTCAGAGCACTGCTGGACAACAGTTTTAAAAGCCCCCAGATCACGTTGAAGGAGATTGCTTTTACATTCAGTCTGAAGCCTCCCACTTTCCCAGTCAGCTCTCTGGGTTTTCCTGTTCAGTTCTTAATGCAAACACATTTCAATAAAACCAGCCGGGCTGAGGGGGATTATGACTGTTAAAAACCATATTTGACTTTTAATTTTTAAAACAAATTAAATACAGTTCAATTAAAACCGAGAAGAGATGGTGCAGCTGAAGAAGGCTCCACCCTCTAGCTCAGTCTGTGTTCCTGGGACCTCCCAGTCCTACTGACATCACTCCCCCTGGGGTGGGGGGAGGGACAGGGTTTGGAACAAACGTTTACAGTCAGGGACATGGTCCGTCTGGTCTATAACAAGCCCATTCCCGAGCACAGATGAAAGCTGCAATCCACTGGGATTATGATTATAAATAAATATACATGCAGCTAAAAGAGGACTTTTGGTGCGAGAACTGGACTAGCATCTGGAAATTTTGGTGTTAAATTTTTCAGTGTTCCCCCTCCCCCTTTTCTGTTGACTTCTATTTTTCCTGAAAAGGAGGCCTGGGTTTCTGACCAGGTAGGAGATCTGCTTTTGCTAAATCCAGCCCAAGCCCTGCGTGAATTGGGCTCCCAGGGCTGGTTACTAGAAAGGGGCACAATGATTATCTCTTGTCCTATCCAGGCCAAGGCTCAGGCAAATTGCAATTTAGCCTATCCAGAAGTTTCCTGTCCCTGTTACCCCATCTTCACCCAACAGGTGTTGCTTCCTAAAACCAAAACAAGAAAAACAACAACCCAAAAAATCCCCACAAAAATAAAAACAAACCAATCCTAAATTTAAAGGAAAATATTAAATAAAAGTTGTTGGGAAAAGCCCTGATTCATGCTTAGCTCAGTTGTTCCAGTCTCCTGGTTTCCATCATTATAAATATTGAGGGACATTAAAAGTACATCTCAAAATTGGCAGTCACTGCTATTATTTTTAAATAATAGGATAACACTGCAAGGCTGTCCCTTTCCCCAAACTCCTTCCAACCCAGGAGTGGGTTATGCATGCCCCTTAGTCCTCAAGAGACACCCTATGGGTTTAAATAGGATGTTGGCTGTTAGGGGTTAAGAAAAGTTAGTCTCTCCTTGTAGGATCCCTTCTTTTTCCTTCCTCAAGGAGGAAAATTGTGCTTCCAACTTTCAAGGGGAAGAGTGAAGGAGAGGGAAGAAGGGAATAGGAGAGAGAAATTATGGATGAAAAATAGATAGGCAGCCAGGAGAATGGGAAGGAAGAAGGAGCAGTTTGGGGCAGGGTCCTATCGGAGCAGTACAGTGGGAGAGATTTTACATTCTCCCAACTGAAAACCACAAGCCCAAGGTATGGTAGTGAATGGAACTGTGCAAAGGGAGGAGGGAGGAGATTTGTTTTTCTCTGGTGTGGAGAAGAAATGAGGGGGCCAGTGACTTCTGCAGATAGAGGGAGCTTGATCTGGTTGCTCCTGGCTCAGTGAGAAGATACATTTTTCTCTCCGTTTTGTTTTTTTAAAAAATAATTTCCAATCTATCATATGTGCTCAGCTCCTCTCCCTGTCCAGCATCCAGGTTATCTTGGCTGCTAGTACTCTGAAGCCCAGAAAACTGAAGGGGTGGGTGACAGTCACGGAGCCACACCACATCATCACATCCTATGCCCATCTGGAAGGAAGGAATCTCTATTTTATACTCTGCCACCACTCCCCTCCCTTCTTCCCTCTCCCTACCTTCAGGCAGGTATTCCTAATGTACTCAGGCCTGATGGGGGACTGACTAGTCTGAGAGACACAGGGAGAGGATTCCACAATCTCCTCTAGTCTCCAGCCTCGTTGAACCATCTCAACCCCTTCCCCTTCCCACACCCCTTTCCCTACCCTGGCTCAGGAGTAGGGCCTTGTAACCCAAGTTCAGCATTTTGGAATAGGGTTACTTGATTTCTTCCTAGTGCAAGAGGTGGTGTCTCAACTGATGCTGGTTCTGAGAAGGGATAGAAGATGAGAAGCCAGTCCCACTGCAACCTGAGGTAGGTGCCTGCCGACAGGCTCAGGTCCCCATGCAGGGTTAGTCAGGTGCCAGGGTTAAACACAGCCCTAAGTTCTGTAAACATGAACCAAAGAAAAGCCACCCAGGCCAGAGAGAGGTATGTCTGATTTTGGAGCAACTTGCAGGTAAGGAGGCAAGGAGAGGCGCTGGGGGGAGAGAACGGGCAGAGGGAGGAGAGATTTCACGCTTTCTCTTGGTCGTTTCTGGGGTTTTGAAATGCTCTGGCTGTCCTGTGTTGTGCAATGTTATATCCTAGCTGGAGTATAAGAACCCAAGGGAAAGGGAGCACTTCTCCCCTTGGGTGCCTCCTGTTGCCCTCGCTAGCTCTCACACTGAGTGTCATTCAGTGCTCAGAGTCACAAGCCTGGTATCAGGGTCTTCCCCTCTTTTGGACCTGGGTGTTGGCTGGGAGATTCTTCGGGGGAAAAAAATGCAGGGCCATTGGGCCGTCTCCCCAGGGCTCCTGCTTGGCATCAGCTGAACTCCCCGACTCTCAGGATCTCCCACTCAGTCTCTTGGTCATCTTGGGCAGAGGAGAACAACAGGCCTGGGATTTCTGTGCTTTCGATGATTTTTCTTTCTTCCTCGTGTCCCACCAGGCTTTCTCCGTAGCCTCCTTGATGGAAGGACAGGTGACAGGGATTGTTCAGGAGTCTGCCATGAGGGCCCCCACAGCCAAGGGGGAGAGAGGCTCTGAGGCCAAGAGTAGGGTCTGTGAGAGGGAGTCTCCTGCAAATTGGAGAGGAGGAAGTAACTAAGGTGAGTCTGAGTCTCCAAATAGGGATGTTTAGCACCTGTACCCCTCAAACCTCAGCTTCCTTGATTCTTTGAAGTGCTGCAGTGGGAAAGTGACCAGAACTTCACAAAGCCTGGAGGAAGCTGTTGTGACTGATGTCAAGGCACTGTATTATCTAATAATAATAATGATGATAATGGCAGCTAGCATCCTGTTCAGTTCACATAACCACCATAGGAGGAAGGGGCTATTATCACCTCCAGTTTACAGATGAGGAAACAGACAAAGAGTATTTAAATGACGTGCCTAGGGTCATAGAACTCTTAAAGGTCTGAGGCAAGACTTGAACTCAGGTCTTTCTGTCTAGCAATCTATCTGAGTTGATTGTTAATTTTCTCAGATTCAGGGGCTGAATTGGCTAAGGGACAGCTGGGCTTTTCCAGTAATATGAGGAAGAGAGGAATGGAGAGGAGATAGAAAGGTCTTCCTCAAACAAGGGGCTCAAAAAAGGAGCCCTCTGAGTGTCTCATCTCCGGGGCTGCATTTCTGCCTGTTTAGTGGAGGCTGAATTGGAAGTGACAGAGAAGGGCAGAGAAAAGCAAGGGAAAGTAAGAATGGGGGAAAATAGACCCAGAGGACAAGGGGTTGGAAGTCAGGGCCCTGGAACATCACTGGGGTCATGATAAGAATTTTTAAAAGGTGCAGAGGAGAGATATCTGCTTAGATGCTGACCTCAGAAAGACTAGGCAATACAGGGTTAAGAGGTTGTTCTGCATTTTTTCCCCCACAGAGTTCAGAACCTGGTGAGTTGGGTGTACTATCTGGCTAAGTCCTTTTCCTTTTGACTAACCTTTTCCCCTGTCTAATTCTCAACCTCACCTCCAGCATGAGGGGCCCACTAGAGAAAGCAGTCTCTAACCCCAAGTCAACTGAACTCCAGTTCTCTCTTTCCCTCTCCATCTCCACTTGATTCCTGCATACCTGGGTCCCCGGTGTCAGATCTCCACATTGGGGTCAGTGAAGCCTTTTCTCCCCTCATTCACCAGCACGGGCTTCTCTGTTCGTGTGTGCCAGACGAGGATCTGTGTCAGGAGATGCCATGAGTTGGAGACAGGACCAGACATCCTCATTCATTTTCTTACTCACCCCATATTTCCTGCTATCCCTTTCCTCTCCCAGGCCCTACTATTATTTCTCCATTTCTGTTTGTGACAACTCTCTCCTCTCTTCCCCGCTCTTCCCTTCCTTCCCCTCCCCCTCAGGCATGTTTTTCAGGCCCTCCCACCCCATCCTCAATTCCTTGGTTCTCCTTTGTTGACATGTTTGTCTGTAACATGAAGTGGACATATTAACTTTGGGCTCAGGACCTCAGAAACAATAAAGCAAAAAGAAAGCAAAAGGGACCTCTGAGCTCCTTTGCATCAACCATCCAGCTGGGACATTTTCCAATTCCAATTTCCAGAAGTAGAAAGTTTTAGGGAAGGGAAATTCTGTAGGTTTCCCAGTCTGAGACATAAGCCCACCCCAACTGGAGCAGCAGAAATTAATAGTGATAAGCACAGAAAGACTGGAACACTTCACAGCTTGAGGTGTTGGTGAATTTCCTCATTTTCATCTCCCTAGATTTTCCCTATTTCTACCTAATTAGGGAAGTTTAGTTGTAAGCCACTGATCAGCATCAGCATCTAGAACAATAATACTGTTTCTTTATTAGATCAAATGATCATAGATCATATATTTAGGTTATATATTTTCATATCATTATCATGTATTTTAGATCATATATTTAGAACTTGAAGGGACCTTAGAAGTCATCAAGCCCAACCCTCCCTTAACTAAGGCTAGGTGACTGGCCCCCGGTCGCCCATCTAGTAAGTGGCTGAAGCAGGATTTAAACCCAGGTCTTCCTGAGTCCAAGTCCTGTGCTCAATCACTCCACCACCCTTCATCTCAGGAAATAACTCCAGACTGGAGCCATTTTATAAGACTGGGCTTCTCTTCTGACAGCAGTGAAGGTTTTAAAGTGCTTGGATATCCCCATGATGCCTTGAGTCTCCAAAGCTGCCCTACCTTGGTGCAGTTGGCGGCCTTGGGCTCCAGGTCATTGAGGGTGACGAGCTCACGGAGAAGGCTGCTCTCTTGGTAGCCACCTTTGACTCCTCGAAGCTTGAAGTAGGCTTGACTTCGTTGCAGGATGAGCCGCAGGTTGACTGCAAAGCCAGCCATGTCAATGGCAAATGGCCGGTGGGGGTCAAAAACTGTCTTCCAGCCAATCACTTTCCCTGCCCCATTCACCCGAGGTGATTCGTACCGAAGACCTCCCACGAAGGCCACAGGCCACACTGACACTTTTCTTGTGCTGCGCATCTACAAGTGGGGGAATGAAGGAAGGAGGTGGGGATGGGGTGGGGGAAAGCGAGGACCCCTGAGTTCTCTGTCCCCTAGCCAGCTCCCCAGTCCTATGTAAGGTGGGACCTGATGGTTGTTCACAGAATCATGGAACCTCCAATGCCCTAACGTCTTCAAACCCTACTCTAACTGGACAGCAGTAGAGGAGTTTGACCTCCTAGCTCTCCCACTAGGTGGCATAACAGGGAAGGTGCTGGACTTAGGAGTCAGGAAGACTAGAGTTGACTATGTTACTCTGGACAAATCGCTTAACCTTTCTGAGCCACAGTTTCCTTATTTGCAAAATGGCCTCTAAAGTCCTTACCAGCTCTAAATCTGTGATCCTATGAACAAGAACTCTTTTGCTCCCTCCCTTCCTTGCTTCAGGGATCTTTGGGTCCTATCACAATCTAAAGGGGTGGGGTAGGGAAGAGAGGCGTACAGAGATGGTAGTGTCTCTTGTAGAGATAGTTTGTGTCTCAACTAAGAATTCTGATAAATGTTCCAGATTCTAGTTCGAAGCCCAGGCTCTATAGATATCTCTGAGGCCACTGGGTCAGAGATGGGGAGGCTGGTTCCCTGTAACCTTGGATGGTTGAGAGATTCTTTCCCTCCCCCACCATGTCCCTTTCTATGTTGGCATCCCACTGTACCCTACCTCATTCCTCACAGTCAGAAAGAGAGCCTCTCCACAGTCCTGCCCCTCGGACCCAGTGCCATGGTCTCTCATTCCCTTCTCCCCTCTATTCACCAACCCTTTAGCCAACCTATTGGGGTCCTACCCTTTTGCTCCCCTTTCCCTCCACATCTGGGAAGAATTCCGGGATTCTCTGCAGCCCTAGCAGACCCACCCTTCCATCTTCCTTCCCCGCCTTCCTCTCCCCACTTCCCCCTAGAAGGAGCCATGCCAGGTGGGTGGCCGTCCCCACCTCCTCAAAGAGTTCCAGGCTGTAGGTGTTGTCGTCATCAGCGAAGTAGACCACGCCGGGCTGGCTGGCGTTGCGGGGGAAGGTCTCCCGGAGCCAGCGCAGGGCGAGGTTGCGCTGCATGGTGCCCCGCGGGATGCGGGGGTCCCTGGCGTCCCCCCGCAGTTTGTAGTTCCGCGGTGTCTCCACGTGCAGGTGTGTGTAGTTGAGGCCGGTGTCCCGGAGGAGGCGAGCAGTCAGGGGCGTCCGGCGTGGGGCGTCCTCCACCACCAGCCAGTGGAGGTTTTGTACATGGAGCAGTGTATTGGCCAGCCGGGTCAGCTCAGCCTTCTGCACAGGGCGACTGTAGGTGGGGGTGACCACGTGGATAGTGGGCAGGGTGTCTGACCAGGGCGGGGGACGCGTGTACACGTACTCGGTCCTCACCACCTCCACGATGTCCCGGTCAGACATGCAAATCTCCCTGGAGTCCACACTGGGGTCCCGCCTTGAGTCACTCCCATCATCTGGGAAGGGGACAAAGGAGGGGTCATGGAGACAGCAGGTTGTAAGGGAAAGAACACGAGTGACAGGCAATCCGGAGACTTTGGGATGTAAGTTCTCGCTTCTCTCACTACCAAAGGTTCGATTGTCTATGTATCTCCGATGCTTAGCCCTGAACAGACATTTAATAAATACTTGTAGATTGATTATAGCTTTACACGCTTTATCTCACAACAACCTTGTGAGAAAGGCACTAGTATTGTTATCCCCATTTTAGAGATGAAGAAACTGAGGTTCAAAGAGGTTAAGAGCTGGTAAATGTCAGCGGCAGTATTTGAACCTGAGAATTCTTGACTCCATGTCCAGCAGGTTAATGCAAACTTCCCACCTACTGCAATAATCCTTTCTAGAGAATCCCTGAGAGATGAAACCCCAATCTGTTTATTTCTAGTGATGGTGGGAGAGCTCATTAGCCTCTTGGGCACCTCTGCTTACAAGCCAACTGTGCCTTATACTGAGCTAAATTCTACCTCCCATTGATCTCAGTCCTGCCCCCTGGAACCTCCTGGAACAGTACAGAATAGGTTTATTTACTCCTCCCCTGTGGAAGCGCTGTGGTCTTTTCTTCTCTTCCTCAGCGAGTTCTCACATAACCATAGTCTGATCATGACCCAATGAGCTGATGATAACTGGCATTTACATAAAGCTTTAAGATTTACAAAACACTTTACAAATAGTATCTGTTTTTATCCTCACAACAATTCTGGGAAGTAGGTGCTATTATTATCCCTATTTTATAGATGAGGAAACTGAGGCAGATAGCGATTAAGTGACTTGCCCAGGGTCACACAGCCAATAAGTGTCTGAGGCTGATTTTAACTTGGTCCTTCCTGATTCCAGGTCCAGCCCTCCATCCAACTGCACCAAATTATCAATGACAAATGATATATGTGTCAAGCAAGATGTAAACTTTGACATATCGACTATTAATAAACCAACTCATTATACCATTGTATGATCTATATCTTGATCAAAAGGATAGATAACAAACAAGGCATTTGTCAAATGCCTTGTTAAATTGTTAAATTCCAGATACTTGTTATGTTTATTGCATTCTCCTAGTAACCCCACTGAAAAAGGAAATAAAGTTATTTAACTTGTTATTGAATCAGTGCTGAATTTTATATGATAAAGATTCATTTTCTTTTTTAAATGTTCAGAAATTAATCAGAAGATAAATAACTTGTTCAGAGTTGAACCTCTGAGGGCCCAGAAAGGCTAAATGATGTGCCCGAGGTCACTCAGGTAATAAATGACAGGGCCAATATTTAAATTCAGATTCTGTAACTCTCTGTACCTTTTCCACTACACCTCACTACTCTGAATGGGGCAGAAAGAAGGGAGGAGAGTACTTTGGGATACTTAGAAAGCAAAGTGGTCACTATTATTAACCATCATGGTTATTAAGAACAAGTCATACCAGACTAGTCTGGTTTGATATGGCAGCTTGGTAGCCCAGGGGAGCCTGGATTCAGGAAGACCTGGGTTCAAATATGGGTTCAGACACTTACTAGCTGTGTGACCCTGGGCAAGTCACTTAACATCTGTCTGCCTCAGTTTCCAAAAAATGAGATTCATAATAGTACCTACCTCCCAGAGTTGTTGTGAAGATCAAATGAGATAATGCACAGTGCCTGGCACATAGTAGGTGCTTAGTAAATGTTTGTTTCCTTCTCTCCCTTGCCCCATTGCCTTTCTTGAGAAGGTTACTAGAATGGTAGCTAGGGGAATACCATAGACATAGATAGGATGATAGATTTAGAATCAGAACCCCTGAAGGGTCTTCTAGTTCAACACCTGTGCTCTTACAAATGAGAAAGTTGAGGTTTAGACACTTGCTCAAAGTCACACAGGCAGCAAATGGCAAGGCTAGGATTCCAACACAGGTCCTCTGGCTTCAGATCCATCTTTCCACTATACCAGGGGTGGGGAACCCTCGGAGCTGCACCATACCATGCCTTCTATGGTATATCAGATTTTGAGATAGGCCTCTGACAAAGTCAGGAAATCCTCATGAGCAAGAAGGACAGATGTGGAGTGGATGGTAGTGAGTTCATTTAGAGGGAATCCAGAGCTGGTTGAATGACTGGCTCCAAAGCGGTGATTAATGCTTCTCCTCACCCACTACCCCCACCCCCGAGGTCTTTATTGGAGTGCCATTGGAGTCTGCCTTTAGTCATGTTGTATTCAACATTTTTATCAAGGACTAGGATGAAAGCATTGATAGAATGCATCTTAGATGTGTGGATAACCAATTAATGAATGAGTCAACAAGCGTGTATTAAACTATGGACCAGACACTATGTTAGAATCTGGGGTCACAAATTCAAGAGTGAGAGCTTCTCTCCTAGCTGATAACATTCGGTAGTAGAATTGCAATCCAAACGAATGTCTACAGGCTACAATGGTAGGTAGAAGCTAAAAATGAGAAATGTTTTAGGCGGAAGTATATGTTTCATTTGGGTTCAAAAATCTACTTCATAAATACAGGATAGGGTGGGGAGGGCACTAGAAAGCATTTCATGTGAGAAGTACAGGGCTTTTATTGGATTGCTGGCTGTGTATGAGTCAGCAGTTTGACGTGGCAGCTCCAAAGCTAATTCAATCTTAAAGTGCTTTATTAATATAAGTATGGTGTCCTGAACAAAGGAGACAATAATATTCTGCCCTAGTTAGACTGCACTTGGCAGTATAGTTGTGTATAGTTGGGGGCACTGTATTTTAGATTGACTGGAGCATGAAAAGGGTAGGCACATTGTGAGGGAGTGAGATACCTCATTCCACATAGGGATTGGGTGAATGATTTGGGTGTGTTTATCCTAGAAAAGAAAAGATTGAAGGGGAAACCTGAGAGCCACCTTCAAATATTTGAAGGGTAATCATATGGAAAGTTTACACTTGTTCTGCTAATTCCAAGAAGACAGACTAGGAGCTATGGGCAGATTTTACAGGAAAATGGATTTGAGCTCAGAATAAGGAAAACTTCCTAACAGAGCTATGGATAAGTGAATGGGCAATCTAAGCGAAAGTATTAAGTTCCGTCACTGGAGGGATTCAAGCAGAGATTGGATGACTTTATTGTTAGAAGAGTCAGTGGGGAATCATGATTTGAATATAGGTTGGACTGAGTGACCTCTAGGGTTTTCTCCAGTCTCTGAGTCTCCAGGTCTCTATGTATGTATGTATGGGAAGGAAGAGGAAAAAGGGCGCTATAAGCACATGTGGAAAGATTGCTTTGGAATGCCCAATGGATAAAATAAAAAAACATTCCAAAATATCCCTCATTCCTGGGGGTGATGAAGTAAATATCAAGGTTTGGGGATCAATAGAACTCATCATCTTCCCCAGACAACTAGCTCACTTTACCTGACTCCCTTATTTCATTTAATGGCTCTATGCTTCTCTTAGTAACCCTGTTTGACACTGTAGAATCCTTATTAGCACTCATCTTATATCCCCAATTAGAGTTGTAAGTTCCTTCAGGGCAGAGACTGTCTTCTTCACTTTTTATTGTAGTGCCGATGTAATGAAATGATTGTCCTTTGTAAATTTTGAAGGTGAAAGGGGTCTCAGATGGAATTATGCTATTCTTAGGGTAATGTGAAACACTTAGGTGGTTTGTAATATTATTCTTTATTTCCTCCCTCCTTTGCTTGGAGGAAGTGAAAGGATATCTAATTAGCAAAATGATTATGTGGCTGTGGGTGTATCACCGAAAGCTGCCAACAATTTGAAGTCTTAACTGGCTGAGAGTGAATTTGGGATGGTAAACTGATGAATCCAGGCAGTTCAGAGTGCCTGCCTGGATGAATCCCCCGTCAGCAAGATTGTTCTGGGGCAAGAACTGCCATTCCCTTTTGGGGTAAGAAGGGAGATGAACTCTTGTTGTGGGTTCTAGGCCCACAGCAATCATGGGGGCTGGACAGTGGGTTAGTCCTTTCTTTACCGTGTCTACTTGGGCTGTGGATCATTAGCATGATGATCTTACTCTGGTGAATTATTTCTGAATTGGTATTTTCTTTTCCTTTGTAAATCAATATCTTTGCTCTGATACCACGATAGTCGAGGCAGTGTGCCACAGAGAGTAGAGTACTGACTTGGAGGCAAGAAACCTGGGTTCAAATCTTACCTCTGAGGCTTATTTGCTGCATGATTCTGCACAAGTCACTTAACCTTTGTGTATCTCAGACAACCCCCTAGGATTTTACTAAGTCATAGGTGGATAGTGGTTAGCATTGGTGGAGGGAATTCATACACTGGGAATTCCTTACATTGTGAAAATCATTGGTCATAAAATCCAACTCCCTTATTTCACAGATTAGGAAGCTGAGGTCAGAGAAATTAACTGACCTATCTAAAGTCACACAGAGAGTGGCAGAGCTGGGAGTTTAAATCCAGTCTGACTGCAAATCTAGTATTCTTTTTATTATGCCATGCTGCTTCAAGTCACTTGGTAAACTGCAAGATGTGGTATGGGAAGGAAAGAGATGATGTTAGAATTGGATATCTAGTTATGTTGGAAGTAATGGAAGAAGGGCAAGCATGGTGATTAGGTGCTGGGTATGGCTGAAATTAGGGAATTAAACAGCCTCAGAAGTGGGGAAGGTTAGGGGGCTTGATGTCTTGAGTCAGAGGTTAGAGACTATTGAGGTTTGGAAACCAGTGAGGGAGAAAACCCCTGGGGCTGAAGGCATGGGTATCTTAGGTGAATACCAAGGCATGGGTACCCTAGGTGAATACCAAGGAGTAGCTGATGCCCTGATGTCAGCTAATGCTGACAGGGTTCAGCAAAGCCTGAGGTCCAGGGATGGATCCTTCACAGCTAGGCACAGAGCAATCATTCAATAAGCAATCATTCAATTTTTTAATTAAATTAATTGGTGAAGCTAAGGACCTCCAAGGGGTAGTCATGGACCTACTCTAAACCTTCAGAGAGAGCTGGAGGGGCTGGGGTGGATATGGTGTTTGGCTGCCTGAGTTGGTAGGTGGGAGTGGGACAGATTGCAGGGTTATAGCTGGGAATGAGTCCGAGGGGTAGAAGTTGGAAGAGGAAGGCCAGGGAGAGGCTGAAGGGTGGCAAAGGCTAGGAGAAGGGGATATGTCGTCAGAGATGAGGGGAAGGTTGTACGAGTATACACGTACACGTATACACTTGTATACATATGTATGTCTGTACAGGGGTGGCGTAGCCTCACTCACCCTTGTGCACAGTGAGCAACGGGGCGATGGGGCTCTGATGCCATACGGTGATGAGCAGCGTCCAGGGAAGCACGATGAGAACAATAGCCAGGATGTCCCGTCTCTTCGGCATCTCCAAGGCTGACTGGACCCACAGCTCCTCATTACCTGGATGGTGGCAAGTCCAGGAAGGGGGGAGTGGCAGTAGCAGGGAGCAGAGAGCAGAGAGGGCAGAAGAGAACATGAATGGGCCAAGGAGCCCCAGGACAGAGAGAGACAGAGAAGGGGAAATGTCGGTTTAAAGGTCTTACCAGCTCTTACAACCCACCCATTGCAGAAGCAGGTTTAGGAAGTCTGGTCACGCCGGAGTCCAGGGAGAGGGCGGCTGTCCAGGGGTGAGCTCAGGGCCCCAGGGGGATGGAGGCCTGAAATACAAAGCAAAGGGCCATAGCCAGAGAGCTGTTGAGAAGTAGAGGCCCGGAAAGGAGCAGTGACTTTCTTAGGATACACAGCGAGCTAACGCCGGACCAAAGTCTCCCATTGTAGATTTGGGAGTGTCAGATAAGCCTCATTTCCAGAAAGAGCTCTTGTGGGAGAGTGACGCGGCTTCCGAAAGATTGTCAAGGCAGGCAATCTGGTATCTTCAAATACATTGAAAAGTTAATGTCCAAACATCTAAGTCAAGGTAAGAAGTTACCAGCCTATTGTCCTGAGCAAAAGCCTGCACCAGACCATTACACCAGACTTGTTCTTGCCTGAAAAGAGGCAGGAGGCCCTAAAAACGGGACTTTGGTTGAGATGGAGCGGTGTGGACAAGGCTGTGAGGAAATACCTGGAGTACACTTCTCTTTGTGATCATCATCATTCAGTTCAATTTAATTCAACATTTGTTAAGCCATAAATATGTATACAGGCCACGGTGTTTACGGATGTTGGCTCTTACCCTCAAGGAGCTAATGTTCAATAGGAAGACACATAAACAAATAACTGCAATACAAATTAGAAAATCCACGCATCGGATGTGTGCCAAGGAAGGAGAGATAATTGCTGGCAGAGAGGGATCAGGGAAAGCTTCATGGAGGAAGTGGCAGCCAGAAAGCAAATATATTTTAGAAACTTATGGGGTCCAGGGCACTGGGACGGGCTGGGAATAAAAACAGGTGTAGAGCACAGTCCTTCACCTTGAGAGGCTTACAATCTAGATGACAGGACACGTAGAGTAGGTGCAAATTATCGAGAGGTATTCATCAGGTTGTCTGTAATGCCAAAGAAGCTTACCTTTTCATCCCCTTCTTATAGCCTGGCTTGGATGGGCAGAGTGGATGCCCCAGCTTTCAAGAAGGAGAGGGACAGAGACCCCATGCACAGAATCTCAGATGCCTGAGGAAGGACCTCAGAGGTCATACACTCTAACCCATACCTGAATTAGAAGCTTCCTCTACAGGGTCCTCGGCCATGATTATCTGGTTTCTACTTGAAGACCTCCAGTGAGGCGGAACCCTCCTGAGACAATGTCTTCCACTTTTGAGTAATTCTAATTATAAGGAGTTTTTTTCTTCTTCTTAGATTAAGCCCTTAGGTTATGGCAACTTCACTCGCTGTTCCTAGTTCAGCCCTCTGAGGCTGACATAATAACAAATAACCACATAACAAATCCAAACCCTGGCCCACATAATGGTCCTAATTCTGGAAGATGGTGATGGTGTTCCCCCACCTCCACCCCCATTTCAATTCATCAAGTATTTATTAAGTACCTACTATATATAAGGTAGAGGTGGTCTGGAACAATCGATAGGTTATGCAATTATATTTATCTGTTAAGCAAAAGCAGCAGAAAAGGATTCATAGAGATCAGGGCAACATCAAGTTGGGAGTGTTCCAAAGCCTCCCTGGGTCAGGAAGACCTAGGTTTGAGTCTGCTACGTCATGGCTCTTGGACAAGTCATTTAACCTCAGACAACTCTCTAAGCCCAGTTACAGAGCTTGCTTATTAGAGGGAGTTTCCTCAATGGGCAGTTCCTTATCCCTAATGACATCACAGGTCAGGTAACCCCCCAAATGTTCAAGGCACTGTATTAGGCACTGGGGTTACAAAGACAAGGAAGGAACAGTTCCTGGCCGCAGGGACCTTACATTCTACTTGGGGACACAACATTATAATTGTTTTTCAGTTGTTTCAGTTGTGTCTGACTCTTTTTGACCACATTTGGGGTTTTCTTGGGAGAGATAATGGAATGGTTTGCCATTTCCTTTTCCAGCTCATGTGACAGATGAAGAAACTGATGCAAATAGGGTTAAGTGACTTGCCCAGGGTCACACAGCTAGTATCTGAAGCCAAATTTGAACTCCTGAAGATGAGTCTCCCTGACTCCAGGCCCAGTGCTCTATTCACTGTGCCACCTAGCTGCCGCACCCACAACATATAAATATATAAGTAAATACAAAGTGCTAAAGGGTGTCGTGGTAGAGTCAACAGAAGACTAGACAGAAAATCAGGAAGTTGGGGATTCCATTAGACTGTGAGTTCCTTGAGAGCAGGGATTTATCTTTTGCCTTTCCTTGTATCCTTAGCACTAAGCACAGTGCCTGGCACATAGTAGGGATTTAGTAAAATGCTTATTGACTGAAGTCACTCATTGAACTGCTCAGTGCCCCAAACAGCGCTTTGAAACTAAAAAGTTGGGGCAGCTAGATGGTGCAGTGGATAGAGCACCGGCCCTGGAGTCAGGAGGACCTGAGTTCAAATTCGGCCTCAGACACTTGACACTTACTAGCTGTGTGACCCTGGGCAAGCTACTTAACCCTGATTGCCAAAGCAAAAAAAAACCTAAAAAGCTGCTGGGAAGTCACTGATCTGCATCAGAAGAGGGATTTCCTCCCTCCTTTTCTCCCTTCCTGCCTCCCTCCTTTCCTTCCTCCTTCCTTCCTTCCTTCCTTCCTCCCTCTCTCCTTTCCTTCCTTCCTTCCTTCCTTCCTTCCTTCCTTCCTTCCTTCCTTC